TATATGTGTGTGTGTGTGTGTGTGTGTGTGTATTAGGGATGTGCAACTCCATAACTGAGGCCGATGCTATACGCATATCTCGATGCATAGCCAACGATACGATACATTATAGATACATATGAAGCAGCTACCGATGTGATGCAATACGATTCATTATTATTACAATGCAGTGCGATCTGAATTCAATTCGATTCAACACAGTGCGATTCAATGCAATGGAAAAAAATATATATGATGCTATGCAATTCAATAGGGTACAGATAGTTCGCTTTTATTTCTTCACTTTAAACTTTTAACTTTACCTGCTGGTGTCGCTGTTGGGCAGTGTTTCTTTAGAAAATCGAGTGATTTTTATGCTTATTAATGTTATATTTTGTAATATTGGCATTGTTTTATTTTTGTATTACGATTTTTTTTCTCATCCAATATTTTGAGGAGACACTTCCTCCCCGAGAGAGAGAGAGAGAGAGAGAGAGAGAGAGATGTGTTTTAGTTGCTTTCAGGGGTTAACTAGAATGAAATGGATGCAAAAACAACAAAAACACCACAAAATCAGACAAAAATAAAAAAGAAAGCAAAAACATTGTTGTTATAATTATTACGGATTATAATTAAACACATCAGTATTAGAATGATTTCTGAAGGATCATGCAACACTGAAGACTGGAGTAATGACTCTTGAATTTCTAAAATTCCTAAAATATGTTAAATTATAATGATCAAACAATAAAAAAAAAGAAAAAAAAGAAAACGGTTCTTTTAACAATTTTTTAAAATTATTATTTCACAATATTACTGTTTTACTGTATTTTTGATTAAATAAATGTAGGCTTGATGATCATAAAATACTTCTTTAAAAACCATTAACAAAAAAATCTGTATTTTTGTCTAAAAATATCTTAACATTTATAAAAATAAATATATAAATTTTTACTCAATAAATTGTTTCCCAATAATACTAATTCTATTCCAAAAATATGGAAGTTTTGCTTTAGTTGCTTTCAGATGGGTTAACTATAAATGAATGCAAAAACAACACAAACTCCTATGAAAGCAGGCGCTGCAAGGGACACTGCAGGAGTTTTCTTATCTTAAACAAAAACATGCAGCTGAAAACGCTTTCAAATGAAGCCAAGATGCAACTGACTAACTTTAGTAAACCTACAGTGGCGTACGCCTCCAAAAATTTCCAGCAATCGAGATGCTAGATTCCTGACGAATGTCCCAGAAATCCAGAACACAGTCTCAACATCAAACCTCCCGAGAAGCGCCGAGCATATTCACACAGAATATAGAAGTAATGCTAGAAAGACACAGAGAGCCCTGAGGAAAGTGTTATTTCTCAGAGGTTGCTCTTTCAAAGCTCAGGAAGATTTGAGATATGCTTCATTTAGGTATCAGCTTCGTCTCTGATGTTCCTCCTGAAATTTCTTAGTAGAAAAAAAAACTCAACTTGCTGTACAGTATGATTAAAATGACTGCAATTAGCATAGTTTAGATGAATCATAAATTATAATGAAAATGCTAATTCTAAACAAACACAAACTCCTATGAAAGCAGGCGCTGCAAGGGACACTGCAGGAGTTTTCTTATCTTAAACAAAAACATGCAGCTGAAAACGCTTTCAAATGAAGCCAAGATGCAACTGACTAACTTTAGTAAACCTACAGTGGCGTACGCCTCCAAAAATTTCCAGCAATCGAGATGCTAGATTCCTGACGAATGTCCCAGAAATCCAGAACACAGTCTCAACATCAAACCTCCCGAGAAGCGCCGAGCATATTCACACAGAATATAGAAGTAATGCTAGAAAGACACAGAGAGCCCTGAGGAAAGTGTTATTTCTCAGAGGTTGCTCTTTCAAAGCTCAGGAAGATTTGAGATATGCTTCATTTAGGTATCAGCTTCGTCTCTGATGTTCCTCCTGAAATTCCGTAGTAGAAAAAAAAACTCAACTTGCTGAACAGTATGATTAAAATGACTGCAATTAGCATAGTTTAGATGAATCATAAATTATAATGAAAATGCAAATTCTAAACAATATTTATGTGCACTATGATACAACATGGGGTAATTTGATGACGACATACAATGTTAAACAGAACGTAGTAAACGATACATTCAGTTTCACATACTATTTACAAAAAAAGCAGTATGAGAAAGGCAGTATAGAGTATAGTGTGCAGTATTCAGAAGTGTACTAGTACTCCATTCTGTACAGTCAAAAAGACTGTGTGTCAGTGGGGGAAGGATTGAGATAAGAAGAGAAGGAATGAAAGAGAAAGAGGAAACTGCCAGCTCATGCTGTTTTTGGGTCAGTGCATGCAGCGCTGCATACAGATGTGCACAGAGACGGTGAGTGATTCTTAGAGGCTTTTTAAGAGTGTAAATGCATAATTTTTCCTTTTCTGAGGATGTTTGGCTCATTGCATGTACATAACATGGTTTGTATTTTTAATATGTCTAAAAGAAGTCTTTTATACACACTGAGGCTGCATTTATTTAATTAAAAATACAGTAAAAACAGAAATGCTGTGAAATATTATTAGAATTTAAAAGTTGTTTTCTATTTGAATATATTTTAAAATATAATTTATCCCTGTGATCAAAGCTGAATTTTCAGCATCATTACTCTAGTCTTCAGTGTCACATGATCATTCAGAAATCAGTATAATATGCTGATTTGCTGTTCAAGAAATATTTATTATTATTATTATTATTATTATTATTCATACCGAAAATAGTTTTCTGCTGCTTAATATTTTTGTGGAAACCTTAATACTTTTTTTTAGGTATTCTTTGATGAAAGTTCAAAAGAACAGCATTTATTTGAAATGGAAATCTTTTGTAACATTATAAATGTCTTTTCTGTCACCTTTGTTCAATTTAATATATATTTAGTATAAGTTGAGATTAAAAAAGCATAATAAAAGTTGTCCTTTTGATGCATTCACTTTTTATTCACTTCTGAAGTTATACCACAGCTTTGTTTGAGGAACAGACTAAAATGTAAATTGTTATTCACTGATAATTTTCCCTCTACAGTACTTGAATCTCATATGTCCATGTGCATATTTAATCTTTTCAGGTGAAGATGCAATATATGACCTCGGAAGACTTGAAATATAGTTGTCTGGACTGCTTTTATGGGGCTTCAACTGTGTATTTTTTATCTTTTTCAAGATATGAATGTGAACTGTAGAACAAGTCTCATATTTGGCACGATATCAGTGTAAGTAATAATGAGTGTTTCATTTGTGCGTGAACGATTTCTTTAAAGAAGAAAAATCTGTGCATGTTAGCTGGAATCAAACAGACAGCTTGTCAGTAAGAAAAGATGGTGTAGTGTGTCACGCAGAGACAGAAGTCATTATTCAGCTGAACTTAATTAACATGTTAGACTGACACATAATGACAGGAAATAAGAACCAAGACATTGTTGAGTGTTACTTCACTCAACAATGTGCTCATTCAAATGTATGATTTCTCTTTCAAACACGAGTCGAGGCCTGAACAAGCAGATACAAGGACTTATGCATTATCTGAATAAAGCAATAAGCCACGAGGGGCCGTGCATTACTGTGATTTTACCACGGGGAAGGGAGAAGCTTTTATGAAACAGAGAAAGCTGAATTATGATGTAAGATTTGTTTTTTTTATTCCATGAACAGGCCTTTAGAGTCTTTTTTGGGGTGTTTTTAAGCACAACGTGAAGCAGAGCATATAAAACCTACTTAACTGTGCTAAAATTACCGTAACGCACTGCCTTTCATGGTTTATTGCTTCTTTATATTCATTTTAGTTATTTCAAAGCGCTTCACAGCCTACAAACATGGAGCAAAAGAACAAGAAAAACAAACATCATTGGCCAAGCTAGTAAATATGACAAATAACAGGATAAAATGACAATTTCAAATTATTTTTGAAATTACTTTTTATATCTACAGAAAGCACAATCTCTCTATCGTTCTTCCACAAACACAGAGCCTTGTTATCAGTGCTGCCTCTCTGCTTAATCAATAAAATCTTCAAAAATAGCAACGTTACCAGTGTGTGCCACTGAGAAATGTAGTTAAAATAATAATGCTGCTTTTTGTAGAGAAGTTACTACACAACACTTCTGAGAGCCGCAGTAATCACAAACACACACACTCGCTCTCTCTACTGCATAGAAACAGCTCAAACCTCCATTACTAGTGCTAAATGACAATGTAACGTAGTTTGTATTTCCTCCACCGGCCTCGCTCTGTTCCCACGGCTCTCGGCCCCACCCCTCTCGTCACAGACACGCTGGAGTTAGTAATGGAAGTCTGAGTGACTCTTTCAAAGTAGCAACAATGGCTTCAGCTATTTCAAGAAGTGTTGAAGAACAAAAACTTAAAAAATGTCTAAAGATATGGTACCCTGGTATGAGCAGAATAATTGACAGTGGACATTCGAACGATTAAAAAAAATAAACAGCTGCATTCAATAATCCAGAGTCGGGAGCCAATTATTCCTTACATGAAATAGTTGTAAAACGAGCAATGTGATAAAAAAACACACCAATTAAACATTAAACTGTAGAATAATAATAATAATAATAATAATAATAATAATAATGAAAACAACACCAATACAAACTAAAAATTATTAATAATATAAAATTATTATATTTATAATAAAATATCAAATTAAAAACTACTTTGTATTTATTACAATGTAATCTATTTATCTATTTTAATATTAATAATTAAATGTATTATTATTATTATTATTAAAACTATAAAAACTAAAACAATAATATTAATTATTATTAATATTAAACGATTATATTTAGAATAACAATATTAAATGCATAATAATAATATATTAATAATCTATTTATTTATTATGAAATAAAAATAAATAATATGGATGGATGGATGGATGGATAGAATAATTCTGCCAAGTATTATAGTTTAGTAGCATGACTATAAGTTTCAGTACACTCACCTGAGCAGTGAGGCTGAGAGCCGCTCCATTGGCCGTTCAGCTGGCAGGTGCGGGTGGATTCACCAATCAAAACTCGGTCTTCTAAACACCTGTAGTGAACTGTAGAACCGAAGCTGAATTTATCCCCCATCACCACCGCATGAGGAGGAGATCCAGCGTGACCACAGTCCACCTCTGCAGGAGAACACCATCAACCAACAGTCAGTGGAGACTACTTTCTTTATCCAGATACTTTCTTTTGCATTTCTTTAAGCTTTAATATTTAAGACAACATGGTAACAATGCTTAGATTACAGTAGATTTAAAGGGATAGTTCACCCAAAAATGAAAATTCTGTCATTAATTACTCACCCTCAGTGTCACCAATTACTCATTAATTACTCACCCACAATGTCGTTCCAAACCCGTAAGACCTTTGTTCATCTTTGGAACACAAATGAAGATATTTTTGATGAAATCCGAGAGCTTTTCACCATTCACAAGAGTACCACAATGCATACGTGTGATCCTGCTGACACAGAATATGTCTGACATAGAACACGTTTGTGCTCCGAGGATGATCGTAGGTCTTACGGGTTTGGAATGACATTTTCATTTTTGGGTGAACTATCCCTTTAATTATTGTTGTCATAAAATGATTATTAATATAACATTATATTCAAGTAATTCAAGTTTACATTACATGTTGTTGGAGTAACGCAATATTGTAATGCACTACTTTTAAAAGTAACTTTCCCCAACACTGGTTAAAGCACACAGATGGAATGTGAAATATGTGGAATATTTTCAACATTGATTTTTGGTGGAAATCATGAAAAACATACAAACACGACTGAATGACAATGAAAGCTGACTCATTTTGACTTTGTAAATGATTGGCGTTTCCAAATCCGCTGAAATGTGCAGCTCTTCTGTGAAGGTCTGCAGGCACAGATTCTGTGTGGGTCTGGCTGTAACCCTCTCAGAGGATGTCAGGAAAAACAAGTGCTGCGTGGGAGAATTTTAGCAAAGTGGAAAAGGACCTTGTACAATGCAACATTAGCAAGATTACAAAGAACGCATCTCTAAACTCTCCCCCTTTAAAGCACTGCTTTTGAATAACTTGACCGCCTTCAACAATAAGCTGTCTGCACCAACAAGACAACTAAATAAATCACATTAGTCGAATGGATTACATTTTTAATTCTTTTATAATGTTTTTTGGTCATTTCTGGAGCTTGTACTGTACATAAAAGAGCACATGGGTTTGGATTAGGGATATGCCGGTATCAAATTTTCATGTTGCGATTAATTGCTAATGCTTTTATCACGGTATACGGTATTATCGCGATATTGAAATTTAGTTTTTAAAAAAAGTACTGTCATAATACAGTATAACAGGTTTAATAAAATTTTTCTTATAACAAAAATAACTGAACATTTAAATGCAATAAAGCAATACAGATGGAATACCTAAGATTAATGAATGTTCAGAATAATTTTTCATTGGCAGTTTATGTTAACTAATGAATTAACTAATGTTAACTAATGAAGCCCTAATGTAAAGTGTGACCGAACAATAAACAATCAAAACACTTTCAAACAATATCCTAGGGCATGTTGTAGTCCAGATTCAAATGTAAAAAAGTTTGAAAATAAATATGAACATCATAGCAAATACACAAATCTGAATTCAGAAACAGAAAGTAGTGCAGCTGCTTTGTGTTGTGCATTTTGACTAGTTGATGGGAAAAGTATTCTTAAAATGCATTCAAAATTCTGAATAATTTGTAATATATAACTATTCACGGTATTTAGAAGTGCCCACGATAACAATATCGTGCATATTCATTACCGTGATATATCGCATTACCGAATACCTGCACAAGTCTAGTTTGGATCTGGTAAATAATGACAATTAAAATTTCAGAGTGAAATTGTATTTGACTAGTTCATTCTGTCTAATTGCTGAGAAAAAGCCAGCAGTAGTTGATTTGTGTAGTGTGCAGTTGTGCACATCCCAGCGACATTAATTCAGCTCTTGTGAGCTGCTGAAGAAACACACAAAAGCTCTTCATTTCAATTTAGCTAAGCTTCTTTTCAGGCCTGTTTTTGATGTTTGCTTTCTTTTGAATTGGAAATGCACCTGAATAAAACCGAGGGGGTTACAATTTTCATAATATTCATCAGGCTGACGGGGGAAAAGAGGATGCTTATTAAAATTCCCAGTTTAAGAGCAGCAAGCAGCCTCTGTCGGCTAAGCAAAGTGCAGAATTACCTTGTGCACACTTGAGAGAAAAACAAGACTAATAGATAGCTAGCAGGATTGCTGCCTTTTCTTCACGGTGTAAGTAGCGTGATGGAAACGGACAAGAAACAGTCAAATTCAGGTTTGAAGCAATTACAGGGACAGAGATGGAAAGCGAGAGCGGGAGGCAATTGCTATCTCTCACAGGCAAATGAACACGTCGCTCTAATGAATGTGAGCTCCGAGCCTCCGCTCCGCTCGCTCTTGACCTTAATACTCCTCGTTTTGCCAAACCCAAGGAAAGGTGCGTTAAATTCACTGCTGTCCACTGCAGAAACTCAGTGTGTCTGTGCTGGAAAACTTTGAAGGTTTTTAAACGGACAGCGAAGATTTCATCACAAGAGCTCTTTGAATCGAACGCTGCACTCGACTGCATGTTGGCTAACCTGTGACATTTTCCCTCGGCCTCTCAGATGGAAAGTGTTCAAAGACTGTCAATGATAAAGAGTCAAAATAATGAGAAATAAAGTGTTGGCTGATTTGCAGGGCTAATCTGTTGCTATTCAGACCATGACTGAATGAGATACTGTTGGCTGAAAAGAGGGCCAGAGGGCTCTCCGAGCTGAAATTGGTCATTCCTTTTTTAACTGCGGCAGCCAGAAAGTCATTTCCATCAGCACCACAGTGCTTAAATTTCACTATAATGAGAAAAGAAGTCATTTGGTCCAAACCTCGGCATGTGGGCAGCTGCTGGCTCCATTGACGGTCCGCCTGGCACTGCGCTTGAGACGGGCCTTCCAGAATGTGATTCATATTCACTATTCAGGTTAATGTTTTCTTTTGCCATGACATTGGAAACACTGCATCAAATTTCACAAATGGAAGTCTGCGAATTATGTAGGAACAGCCCAAAAAAGGTGGGAAAAAAAAGGAAAATCAATAACATTTGAAAATAGTAGCTTTGGAAGAAATTCATATGAAAATGTGTGTTCTAATTTCAAACATTTTCTAGATCAAAAGGTTTTTATGATGAGAATTCAGTCAGTTGTGTCCTTAACTTTTGTCTACTGGCATATTTTAATCAATTTGTAGAATATGAATCTCCAATGCTTGACAAGAAAAATTTAATGAAATTAAATTTGTATGAAAACATTTATCTAAGCAGCTTTGTGTTCCGGCAATCACAAATAAAACAAGGCAAACCTCCAAATCACCCACACAAAATCAGGTGGTGTTGGTGTTTTCCTTCATCAAGTGTTTCATTGGTAACGTCAGGATTTGTGTGTGATGCCTGTCGTGGGCTGAATAGGGGGTTTGCCTGCATTACATGTCAAACTAATCCTCTTGGCTGCAAACCAAACTTTCCCCGACGCGTATTACTCATGTACTGTGGAGAGAACTCACACACGCAGGATGGGAGCTGGCTGGACCAGTTGTGATCCTGTTGGCAGATGCGCACAGAGGAACCAATGAGCCGGAATCCCGGATTGCACTGGTAAACTACCGTGTCCCTGTAGCCGAAGTTTTCACCGATCACTTGACCATTCACAATCCTTTCCGGAGAGCCGCAGTGGCCGGCTGGGGAAAAAACATTGAGAATATATATAATATATACAACAAATATAATGAGAATTTGAAATGTTATTTGAGCAGCAAATCAGCATATTAGACTGATTTCTGAAGGATCATGTGACACTGAAGTCTGGAGTGATTATGCTGAAAATTCAGCTTTGATCACAGGCATAAATTACATTTTTCCAATACATTCAAATATAGAACAGTTATTTTAAATTACAATAATATTTCACAATTTTACTGTTTTTTTTTTAATAAAATATATTGGTGAGCTTAGTCTCCTTTTCAAAAAATGCACATCTATCTATCTATCTATCTACAATTATTATTATTATAATTTAAAATTAGCTTGTCTCTTTCTTCCTATTTATAAATGTTGACAAATTTAACACTGCTGTTGGATACCTGAAATACCTCAAGCACAGTAGTTTCTATCTTTGGTCTATTCTTTTCATTTGTTTTATTGCTTTGTTTCTCAGTTTTTATCACCGACTATTTACTTAATTCATTACTTGACTTTTTTTTGCTGAGGGTAATAAATGCAATAAAAACTACTTCCTTATTCCTAAATAAATAAATAAAAATTGCCCTAAATAATTACTTGTGGATAATTAAGAATTTGGAGTTAAGTGGAATCTGATTCACAACCATAATCTTTATATTTGTGAAAATTCTCATGTCTAGTTCAGCCTGTGATTTGATGGGAACATTATTGCAGGATGATGTCCTACTTGAGGAAATCACATTGTGTGTGGTGTGGTGAATAGAGATATTCATAATCCACCCACAGACAATGAGTGTTCAATCCCCACAACAGATACTGCAATATCGATGCATCCGAGGATCAACACAACGGATTTGAAGACTCTTTTGGTGGACAAAGTAATGCACAACACTGTTTTACTCAGAGAAGATGTGATGAGAGACAAAGACCGATGGGCAAATGGAGAGCTGTCAGGGTTTTTTTCTCTCAGATGTGATTGATGACAGAACTCAGCAGAGGCTTGCACACTTCACAGAGCACTGAGTCCGCTGAACTACTGCAGAAATCATTTCGTCACCTCTGTCCCTCCACAGCGTTCTCTCACTTCATTTTCTGTTGCACAGGTCGGACAAGAAATTATTCTCTTACACAAAGACACTCATGCAATCTGTGCAAACACAACAGAGAAACCTTCCACAAGGACCTCCTAGTATACTGCCTACATAGCCAGCTGCCTTTTAAGGTTGCATCCTGACCGAAATGAAACATCATAGGTGATTGAACATTCTACACTGGAAGCAACTTGCAGAATTTGTTGAACAGCAGCAACAATAGCATGTTGAGGTAACCCTGAAAAACTCTGATAAGTACAAAAATACACACACATAGAGTAAAATAGTACATATTTCATCAGATGTAATTATATGTGACTATATTTCCTGTAGCAACAGCAGAGCACTGCATTAGCAATGTCAAGGTTACGGATTTGATTCCTAGGGAATGCATGAACTGAGAATATGCATAGCCTGAATATAAGTTGTAGTACGTTTTTGGTATTGAATAAATTACACTTGTAATAAATGATCAATTATATTTATGTTAATTTCTCTCACATTGTCCACTACCTTGTCTTCATCAAGGATGCTGTCTTAGAAATTAGTAAAAAAAAAAAAAAAGCTCTGTAAAAAAATGCTTTCATTTTGAAAGAAAAAGACTTGTAAAAATACCATACAGTTTTCAGAGAAAAATAAAAAAAAATGTATATGTACACATTGTATGTAACTTGTAAAATACTTATGGTGTACATTTATGGTGTTTGCAAGCAAAACTATGAATTACTGTATAAATTACAGCGCAAAATAGTAAATTAAAACAGATTTTGGTGTATTAACATTATATAATTTAATAAAATGTATGGTTTTAAGCTGTAAAAATATACAAGCACCAAACTGCCATTCTGCAACACCTGACACATTTTCACATTTTTAGGGTGAATTTCTGGCAACCACAGCTGCTGTTTTACAGTGCAGGGAACACTGGAACTTAAAAGATGTATAGCTTGAATTTAATGTAAGTCTCTTTGGACACAAGCATGTGCCAAAAGCATAAAACGCATGTAAATTTAATGACACTTTTTGAATAAAAGATACTTATAAATATTAAACGACAACTTTTTCATCATCTTAGATGGATATTTTCCCACTGAGAACCACTATAGTGTATTATGGGATTGCGTTCTCCTTCAAGGTCAAAAAACTGTATTTAAGAAGGGATAATAATGACACTTTTTGTACCTACATAGGCAGTTCACTAGGCTTTAGACAAGAGCTTTTATCTGCATGTGATGATACAGGTGCTGCATACAGCATAAGCAAAAAATTAAAACCACTGTTGCTATGGAAATCCTGACAAAATGTCACAGAACTCTTCATATGGCCTTTCAGCGCCCCGTCTCCATTAAAAGGTTACATGGATGGTAATGTGTGGTGATGTTTTGAAAGAGAGAAGGTTTCTGGTGTTACCGAGACAGCGCGTCTCCGTCCCGCTCCAGAGACCCGATGCCAGACATTCCCGTACAGTCGAGCCCACCAGAATGTAGCCCGAGTTGCAGGTAAAAATAGCGGTTGCTCCGAAGGTTGTCTGCGTTCCAATTTTCTTTCCATTAGGAGGAGTGGGCAGCTCTCCACACGAAATGACTGCAGTAAAAGGCAATAGAGAACAAAAATGAATCGACACAATCTTAAAGACGACACGTACGACTGTGATTTACACCCCCGATGAAAAAAAACAAAAAAAAAAACTGAAGAAATACAGATCAAAATGAGTAAAATTTCTAAAATAGAATAAATATTTCTGAATGTATAAATCTCAGTTTTAAAAATGATCTGATTGTTCAATTGAAAAAATATATTGCCTCTTAAACTGCTTCCTAACTAACTAGACTAAAGTAAAAAGCAATTCTATGTTTAATCACTTTTTACAATAAAAATGTTACAGAAACATTAAATGTGGCTGTTAAATTTTAGAAGATACTTTCCCATAAACTTCTTCAACTAACTATCTAGTAAAAGCCAACTAATTCTTCAATAGCTTGACTGTGTTTACCAGGTTTATAGCTTCAAAACTAAGTTAAATTTTGAGGAATTTAGGACTTTGTAGCTAACTAACTAAAAGTAGAAGCAAGCTACTATATAAACTACTATATTTTATCATGTTTTATCCAGCCCGATCTCACAGCAGTTCGTACATATTTTACGAGGTGGCTAATTCGTACGAATTTGAGAAAAATCGCATGTATTTTATAAGTTGGCAAATTCGAATTAATTCATACGAAGAACCACACCTAACCCCGCCCCTAAACTTACCCGTCACAGAAATCGTACAAAATTGTACGAGTGAGGTCGTACAAATTCGTACGAATTAGCCACCTCGTAAAATACGTACAAATTGGCCGTGAGATAGCGTTGGTTTTATCATGTATATTTTACAATAAAAAAAGTTACAGAAACATAAATCTGATTGTTACATTTAAAAATATACTTTCCCTTCAACTGCTTCAAATTAACTAGCTAATAAAAACTAGGGCTGTGCAATTAATCACATGCGATTGTAATGCGCATCTCGTCAGTAAAGCCGGTCCCGTGATTGGTAGTAAATCTCCATCACCTGCTTTCAGATTGAGCGGCATTCACTACACAGAGCCGTAGTTCACTGACAATTAGTCAATATCGCATTCATAATCGCAGATGAATTGCATTCGATTATGAACGCGATATCGCCTAGCTTGTCAGTGAACTACGGCTCTGTGTATTAAATGCCGCTCCATCTGAAAGCAGGTGATGTTGATTTACTCCTAATCACGGGACCGGCTTTACTGACGAGATGCGCATTACAATTGCATGCGCTTAATTGCACAGCCCTAGTAAAAACTAACTATTACTTCAAAAGAGTAGCTTAACTGTTTAAACAACAAGTACGACTGGGATTTACACCTCCAAAAACACACCACGGATGAAATGCACAACAAAATGAGGAAAATATCTCAAGAAGAACTGACTTCAGAATGGATCAATTGGAACTGACTCTCTTAAAAAACCTTTACCAGGTTTAAAGCTTCAATACTCAGAGCTGCTTTTGAGGAATTTAGTAGCAAATAGCTAATTTACTAAACGTGGAATAAGCTTCTATATTTGACGTTTTTACGATAAAAATGTTACAGAAACAGAAGGTTTGATTGTTAAATTAAAAAAAGATACTGCTCCTTAAACTGCTTTAGTAAAAGCTAACTATTAAAGCTAACTAGCTACTAGTAAAAGATAACTATTCCTTCAAAAGTGTAGCTTGAATGTTTAGACAACATGAAGAAATGCAGACCAAAATTAGGAAACTATCTCAAGAAGAATTTCAACGAGTAGTTAACTAACTAAAAGTAGAAGTAATCTTCTATGTTTGATCACTTTTTACTATAAAAATGCAACAAAAATTTACAGAAATCGAAAAATATGCTGCCCCTAAAATGCTTCAATGTAATTAGCCAGTAATAGCACACTACTACTTTAAAAGTGCAGTTTGGCTGTTTTAAACTGAGTAGTTTGTGTCTTGGGAAGCAACATTTTCTAAGTAGCTTCCCAAACACTGTTCTTAACCACCCATAACCAGCTGAAAATATCAGGAGCTGAACGTTTGAGCTGAGAGGAGATCAGGGATGTATTATATATGTGATACACTGTTCAGGAGCGTTTACTCATGCAGGAAAACCACAGCGGCATCATCATTTCATCTGTTATCAACTTCTCATCATCTTCACCCTGATTGTTGTTGTTTTTTTTAAATTGACGTTGCAGTCTTCTCGCCAGGGTGCAGGATCCTGTCAGACGCCATCAGTCATAAAGCGCCTCTAATGTTTAGATTGTGCCTCTCATATGGGATCAGGAGCTGAACGTTTGAGCTGAGAGGAGATCAGGGATGTATTATATATGTGATACACTGTTCAGGAGCGTTTACTCATGCAGGAAAACCACAGCGGCATCATCATTTCATCTGTTATCAACTTCTCATCATCTTCACCCTGATTGTTGTTGTTTTTTTAAAATTGACGTTGCAGTCTTCTCGCCAGGGTGCAGGATCCTGTCAGACGCCATCAATCATAAAGCGCCTCTAATGTTTAGATTGTGCCTCTCATATGGGAGCCATAAACGCATTCATCACATCTGTAGTTACAGCAGACGCACAACATTGATAACTCAACCATCTGAGGATGGCACTTGCCGATGGAGGACTGCGATAGTAACAGACAACTGGTTTTACTCAGGATTCTCGACTCATTCAGCTGTGTGTTTATTTAATTGCATGTTAAAGGAATAGCTTATCCAAAAATGAATAAAATAAATGGATAAAATATGAGTCTATAGTCCATAAAAACGCTTCCTCCAGTGAAGAGGATGCAGAGGTGAGCAAGTGATGTAATGGACTGGAGTGGTGTGGATTACTTGTGGATTATTGTGATGTTTATATCAGCTGTTTGGACTCTCATTCTGACGGCACCCATTCACTGCAGAGGATCCATTGGTGAGCATGCAATGTAATGCTAACTTTCTCCAAAACTGTTTGGATAAACATACAAACTCATCTACATCTTGGATGGTCTGAGGGTGAGTAAATTTTCATCAAATTTTCATTTTTAGGTGAACTATTCCTTTAAACAGCCTATATAGTGGAGAATATACAGGGCCAAATTTATTTCAGTATTGTGATGGCGCCATATAAAGCATCCTGGGAAATTAGTACTTTTGATTCCATAAGACATAATTAAAGAATACAATGGAGGTACTGGACAAGTTCGTATTTCTTTCTCTATTTGTCACTTCCTGGCAAATCCATAGGGCTTTTTAGCACAAGTGCAAAAATAAATACATAAATAAATAAAAATTGCCATGGATGCATGTTATGTGCGCAATTGTTTCTATTTAATTGCTGTGAATTTAATTCATATAAAAATTAGATAAAGCAACGTTTAAGTGTTTAAGAAAACAAAAATATCACATTCTGGAAAATTGGTGAAAAATAATATTGGAAATGGACTCTAAAGCCACTGGGGAAACCACAAAATGTAATAAATTACTTGCAGTTTAACTCTGAATGCAAAATTTATACACAAGTCTATGTGCATTTTGTTAAAAAAGGGCAGGTTATTTACATTTGCATCCAGCATATTTGATTCAATTCCAAAATAAAAATCTGTGGACAAAAACTTGATGCTATATGCATTTTATCATGTTCATGCAGCCACTGAGAATTATGGGAAATGTTTACTGGTTGCACAATCCTCTCGCCTCATAAACCATGTAAATGAGTAGTATTTTCTGGCAAGCTGTTACAGTTAACAGTAAACAAAATGCATGCAACTAACTGAGCAGTCAACATTCTCAACTAAAACTTAAAAAATCCTTAAAACTTAAAGAAATCTGTGCAGAAAATTGCGGAAAACTCCCCCAGATTCCATGTGTGTAGCAAAGCACCGCACACGCTGCTAATCTTTCACACTTCAGGACACAATTGACAAAATCATTAGTCTTGCAGTCTGCTTTGACTGACCTTAGAACTGGCCAGACTAACAAGGCCTGGGAATTGTGTGTGTCATGATATGTACAGCATTAATGTTTGAGTAACAAATGAAGCGCATAACTTACTCTTGCAGCGAGGTCGCTCATTCCTCCAGCTCCACGTCCCATTGGATGTACAGTGAATGTGGGCGGGGCCGAGCCGGTAATAGCCGGCATTGCAAGTAAAGGCTACTTTAGTGCCGTATTCGTAACGAGAGCCATTGACAATCCTCCATTTGCCGTGATCCAGGGTGAAGGAGCCGATACTGGGACAGACCACAACTGAGAGGAAATCAGTAGCATGGTTAAAATATTTGTATGGAACTTAACAAACGCAATTTACAATTACGCAACCATTTTCCACCCTCTTTCTGAGCCTTTTTTGAAAATATTTGAAAATTCTGTCATCATTTATTCACCCTCCATTTGTTCCAAACCTGTATGAGTTTCTTTCTTCTGCTGAATACAAAAGATATTTTGAAGAATATTGGTAACCCATCAAGATGATGGTAGCCACTGACTTCCATAGTATGGAAAACATTACTATGAAAGTTTTGTTATGAATATTCTTAAAAATATATTTTTTTGTGTGTGTGTTCAACAAGCTGAAAGAAATTCATACAGGTTTGGCGCAACTCGAAGGTAAATAAATAATTTTTGGGTAAACTGTCCCTTTAAGTTTGGGGTTGAAAGTCATTTATTTGATTAAAAATACAGTAAAAACAGTAATGTTATAAAATATTTTTACAATTTAAAATAACTGTTTTCTATTTTAATATATTTTAAAATGTAATTTATTCCGGTGATGTTGAAGTTGAATTTTCAGCATAATTACTCCAGGCTTATATGGTGCTCAAAAACATTTTTTATAATTATCATTGTTGAAAAACAAAGTTGTATTGCTCCATATTTTTGTAGAAACTTTTTTCAGGATTCTTTGATGAGGAGTTAAAAAAAACAGCATTTCGAAAATAAAAATTTCTTAACAAATATCTTAATTTCAACTTTTGATCAATTTAGTACATCCTTGCTGAATAACAACATTCATTCTTTCAAAGGAAAAAAAAAATCTTACTGACTTACTATTCACCATGATTTGATTACCTACGTGCTACTGCTTGCCTCTAGTATTAATAAATCCATTCTCATAACACTAGCATATAGATTAGTCATTAAATTTGATTTCATGAGGGTCTTTAATATAACTCACTGTTACCAGACATGATCAACATAACCATTTAAACCCTTAAATGCTTTGATCACTGGAAACCAGGACGTCTGTCTCACCTGTGCAGCGAGGGATTTTATTGTGGTTGCTCCACGTGCCGTCAGCCTGACACACGGTGCTGGTCACCTCTTTAGAGGAAAGACGAAAGCCGTCGTTGCAGAAATAGGTGGCTCGTGTTCCTGCTGAATAATCAGCAGCCAGCATGCCTCCGTTCACAGGGGCCACCGGGGGCCCACAGGACACAGCTAGAAAAGACAATGAGACGAGCTTGACTTTGCATCGAAACCCTCAACAAAGAACATGAAATTAGTTCACTTCCCTTTTGTTTTCCATGAAGAATGGCATACAGAGGATTTGGGAAATAGGAATTGATTCTTATTTAGAACTGATTCCACAAAAAACAAACTGGATTTTCTTTATGTTCACATGTGATAGCAGAACATCTGCAAAAAACTGCGTCACATTCTATCAAACTTGGGCATGAAAAACAAGAAACTTTTGAGGGTGCAACTAATTGCTTCCCGCAATCAGAAAGTTTTGTAAATGCATTTTGTCATGTTATATATTCTGTGCTGCCTTCAGAGTGGAAATACGTGGCTTGCATTACATGCCTCACGGATAAACGAAATCCAAAGAATGGATTTAAAGAGAAAACAAAGACGGTGAAGCTGCAAATGCAAATAATGTGAATGCATAATAACCTGTTATTTCCCCCAATAATTATATAATACAATTTACTAGAAATCTGAAGAACAGATCTCTGAAGGGCAGTGAATACATTAAGAATTATTTCCCAAACTTTGTCCAATCCTTCTTCAAATCTGTCCACTCCAAATTACTATATACACACACACACATATTAGAATCAGAAAGAGCTTGACTGCCGAATGTGTGCTTGCACACACAAGGATATTTTGTTATAAAGCTTACATTATTCAAATACATACAACAACAAGACACATGATAATAAAATTAGAGAGTAAGTATTAGATACAGTTAGTTTAAGTCGGAATAAAAATAGAATATTTCGAATATGTAGAATTAACCGTCATGTTGTGGTCCAGTCATTTTGACCAGGAGAGATTTTTCTTCCCCCTAAAAATGTCCAATGCAAAATTCATGTTATTGCATTGGACTAAAACATAGTGACTTTGTTTACACATGGAATAACAACCCAAAAAACTTACTTTTGTACTTTTTGGGACTTGTGTTGAGTTGCCTATGAAAAAACTGCTTATAAATCTCTCATTATGCTATATTATTACCAAATACTGTATTCAATCATAGTATCAACTTGTATTCTTTCAATTAGCACAGGTTTTGTATTTATTTTGGAACTGATCTGACTATATGCACCTCAGTTTTTGAGTGAACTTTGCCAAAATTATCCCCAAATAATGCTTAAAAAACAAAACAAAAAAAACAATGAGGCCTACGACAATCGGTTCCAAAAAAAAAAAGTTGATAATAAAGCATAGTATGAAATGGTAACACTTAACAAAACGGTTCATTAGTTAACATTAGTGAACTACTTTAGCTAACATGAACTAAGAATGAACAATACTTCTAGCATTTATTAATCTTAGTTAATGTTAATTTCAACATTTACTAATGCATTATTAAAATCAAAAGTTGGGCTTGTTAACATTAGTTAATGCACTGTGAATTAACATGAACTAACAGTGAACAACTGTATTTTCATTACCTAACATTAACTAAGATTAATAAATACTGTAATAAATGTATTGTTCATTGTTTGTTCATACAAACATTAACTAATGGAACCTTATTGTAAAGCACTACCTACTAAATGAACCAGCATTTTTTAAAAGGCAGATCATTTTTTTATACCAGGAACACCAAATTAGGTGACGGATTTTCAGCGCAGCACAAGGGTTAAGAAATGTCCATCCAAGAAAGTCCAATACAGATACTTCCCTTTACAATGGCAGTTCGTTAATATCAGCTTCCTCGTTAACCTATCCACAAAAGCCAGTCTCAAAAAAAATTTGAACCAAAGCACTGATGCACACACACCTATGTGGCTAGTTTTCCAGCAGATGAGGGCAGGTGAGGTCATTGCCATCGATTCAGTTACCGCTGAGTGAACTTTGAATTAGCACTTTCCCTACAGAGACCAGGATGTGCAAAACAACCTATTTTTAAAAACTAGTTGGTGGATTGTCTAAACAACTAGTCAACCAGCTGTCTTAAGTCTTAAGGTCTGGCAGTCTGTCATACAATCCCTTAAATTAGTAAAATCCAGTTTCTTAATGACAGGAAGTGGCATCATTTTGGAGGGAAAACAAACATTAGTACAGTAAATATTAGCAGAGGATTTGTCGAATTATGTGATGTTTTGCAGTGATGTTAGTGGGTTTATGTCACTCTAAAACATCCATCCATGTTTGATAAAATCACAGAAAACTGTTTATTACCAACATTTCAAAAGATAAATATCAAAATGTACTTCAAGACGTCTTCATGTAAACAAACTGTCAGTTCCTCACGTTATCGCTTTATTTGCATTCTTCTCGAAATTGTTTAAATAATCAAGTTATAATTAATAAAGCTAACTAATACAATGCCTGATAAGTGTTTTTATGAATTCTTTCTTACATTGAAACACCAACACATTCATTTTAAAAGTTAGCAGGAATGACACTCCACCGCATTTGACCTCATCGAGTCCACACAGTGAATGGAAGGTCTAAACATGGTCACGTGTGAGCAAGCAGGGCTGTAATTAGCCAGCATGGCAAAAATGTGTAATTAAAGAAATGGAAAAGGTGCTGGAGTTTGCTCAAAGCAAAATCAATACAGCGATGCAACATAATAGGTTGTCCAATTACTGAGTGCTAAAATTCGAATAAAAAAAATTCAGCAAATCAACAGCACTCGTATTCGTTCATTCATTCGGCCGTATTAATTAGCCGGAAACAAAGAGACGATTGATCAGTGATGCTGGCATCTGACACGGTCTGTCTTTGCAGCAATCTCAATAACATTCCAAATCAACACAAAATGCCACATCTGGAAAGAATCATATAAAATATTCTAGTAATGCAGTTGCTTTCTTGATACTAGCTAATGAATGTCAACAGAAACAAAAATAGCTGAGAATATTGGTGTCTTCAGATGAATTAATTACCTAAACATACAAAACTTTGAGAAATAGTTCACCCAGAATAGAAATTTATGTTATTTACTCATGTTTGTCATTACATTTTTGGGTGCCTTTTTAAATTTATACTTATTATATTGAATTTTATATTGTATAATGATCACCTCTCTTATCTAGCAAGCACCAGCCCACTGTTTCAGAAACAACAAATTCAAAACCTTAAAAAATGGCCTTCAAATACGTCAATTTATTTTCTTCCTTCAGCAGATTCTCCTCCTGGACTGTTTCCAGAATTATAACACAATGAGGTCCTGCTGTCTTGATCCGTCTGCTCCTTCACTTTTTCATAGTGTTAAAATCTGCTCAAAATTCATATCCTTTCTCAGTAGCCCATTCACCCTTTATTATTTTGTTTTGCTCTCTTTTTTATTATTATTGTTATTTTCGAGGGGTGATTTATTTTTGATTTGAGTGAAGGTAATTGAACATGCCCCTTTGGGCTTTTTTCCTTGACAGCAATTCTGTTGTTCCACTATTTGTTATATGAAAATGAAGCAACAATTTTATATATAGGGCTTTATGGCAGAGTGGCCCGACGGAAGCCTCTCCTCAGTTCAAGACACATGAAAGCCCGCATGGAGTTTGCTAAAAAAACACCTGAAGGACTCCAAGATGGTGAGAAATAAGATTCTCTGGTCTGATGAGACCAAGATAGAACTTTTTGGCCTTAATTCTAAGCGGTATGTGTGGAGAAAACCAGGCACCTGTCCAATACAGTCCCAACAGTGAAGCATGGTGGTGGCAGCATCATGCTGTGGGGTTGTTTTTCAGCTGCAGGGACAGGACGACTGGTTGCAATCGAGGGAAAGATGAATGCGGCCAAGTACAGGGATATTCTGGACGAAAACCTTCTCCAGAGTGTTCAGGACCTCAGACTGGGCCGAAGGTTTACCTTCCAACAAGACAATGACCCTAAGCACACAGCTAAAATAACGAAGGAGTGGCTTCACAACAACTCTGTGACTGTTCTTGAATGGCCCAGCCAGAGCCTTGACTTAAACCCAATTGAGCATCTCTGGAGAGACCTAAAAATGGCTGTCCACCAACGTTTACCGTCCAACCTGACAGAACTGGAGAGGATTTGCAAGGAGGAATGGCAGAGGATCCCCAACTCCAGGTGTGAAAAACTTGTTGCATCTTTCCCAAAGACTCATGGCTGTATTAGATCAAAAGGGTGCTTCTACTAAATACTGGGCAAAGGGTCTGAATACTTAGGACCATTTGATATTTCAGTTTTTCTTTTTTAATAAATCTGCAAAAATGTCAACAATTCTGTGTTTTTCTGTCAATATGGGGTGCTGTGTGTACATTAATGAGGAAAAAAAATTAACTTAAATGATTTTAGCAAATGGCTGCAATATAACAAAGAGTGAAAAATTTAAGGGGGTCTGAATACTTTCCGTACCCACTGTATATATATGCATAATGAATGTCCTCGATGAAGCACAAAAATGTTAAAAGTACAATACAGAGCTGTGAGTTTTGCCAGTGAAGGTTAAATCAAACAATACTTGAGCACAAGTGATTGTCAGTTAAATTAGCCTTCACGGTCAACTCAAGGAAATGCAATTTTTGTAAACTCAAGAAAATAATAATAAAGACAACACCTTGACATGCCGGCAGAGACGAGTCCCAGGCCAGATAACCGAACTCAGTTCTCTTGCAGACGGCTATATTTTTCCCGATGAGCCTGTAGCCGCGGTCACAGGCCCAGCGGACGACGCTGTTGACGTGGCCGCCCGTCTGGCTGACCACGAAACCGTGCTGCGGAGAGTCTGGGGTGCTGCAGTACATCGCTACAGATGATAGAACGGATCATTAAGCACTCACACAATATTGACTCAACACATCATCATTATCACAGATAAATAATTGGCAACACTTTACAATAATCATTAAACCCATTATTGCATAATCATGACATTTTAAACTATTTCAGTGTACATTATCTGTTAACAGTACATAATTTAATGCGTGTTAATGTTACAAATTAACAACAATAATAATACTTTGACATTATATAACATACAAGTATTATTTAATATATATTAATTACATCTAATTGTGCCTTCAAGCCTTGTTGCAATAATCATATTTACAAGTTAAGAATTACCAGCGTAAAACATTGTAATCAATATTTATATTAATTACATATTATATAATAAATTATATTAACAATAAAGCGTTACTAAATATTTCTACTCTAATTGTGCCTTTAAGTCTTGTTGCAATTATCATATTTACAAGTTAATTACCACCAGTGGGAAACTTTGAGCCCAGATTTTTTTTCACATTGGTGGAGTGTAAATTAAAGAATCAAGGTATTTTATACAGATTATGAGCTGAAAGGCATGTGCAACAAAAAATACATGTCCTATCATTCTCTGTGTTGTCATGAGAATGCATAAATATCAAGTGCACAAATGTGCATCCTTTTCCTTTTGTTGCTTTAGCACTGAAAAAACACCCCGTGTCTGTCAGTAAAAAATGAATATAAAATTGCACAATGCATCTACTGTATTTTATTCTTTCACATCATAATTACAACTTCTGAATGTTTCCCAGGAGGATCTGAAAGCAGCATACGACTTCTTTCACACAAAAGTCATTTCATTACATCTTCAGCAATAAAGTAAAATAATGGAGTGAACTACTTACCAATGTTTGAAAACACATATTTGTGCTTCATGCACAACCAACACGCAGCGACAGGCACAAAACAACACTTTCTACTCAATTCAGGTCTGACTGAAACTATGATTTGAGCAGTGCTCCTCCTCATCTATGTACTGTATATTGAATTTAAAGTATGAAATTTAGAGTTTTTAATTGCAACTGAAATACTTTTTTTAAGGAAATACTGATATGTTGTAATGCATTGTGGTTATTATCAGCACTTTCTATTAAACTCAAGTTTGACTGAAACCAGGTTAGACTTGTTAGACTTCTGCACATCTATCATGTTATTTATGCATTGCCCCAGAATTTGCATAAAAGATGTGGCTGGAAACTGGCTGGTGTGGGAGTTCAACGCACACCTCTGTTTGCTGTTTTCCTTACATGCTGCTAACTAAGCAGGATGTGTGAAACAGGTCTGACATGTGAGGTCTAACATACATATTTCTCAAATGCACTGTAAAATTTGTTTAATGATTTAATTACATTCTTCAGAATTATAGGCCTATATCGTTTTTTTAAAGCAACTTCTATTACATTTCCTGACTTTTATGTTACACAAACATTTGGACACAAACACATGGACAGATGGGACATAGACTTGGACGAAGTTGTCATGGGCATGACAGACAAAAGGTCACGAGAGACACATAGAACTGAAAGGAATTAACAATCGGGGATACATACTTTGATACTCACCCACGTAAGTGATACGAAAGCCCTTTTTGTTGGTGCCATGATCAGATGACCAGCGGAGAAACAGCTGGTGACCCATGGTGGTGATGTTGAAGGGCACGCTGAGATCTCCGCTCAACACAGCCAGACTCTGACTGTAAATATTGGGCCCTGCAAAAAATAAACTTTAACTGTTAGCTAAAAACAGTTTGGCATTTCCAATGTAAATAAAGCAGCAAATAAATGTTCTTAAAGTTATGTACAAGGACAGTTTGAAGAAGTTTGCAAACTGCCTATTCAAGAGACGGAATGCAATTCAGAATTCAATGATGTCATCGCTGATGGTTCAATTTTGACATTCTGACAGAATCAATGCAACATTTTCAAAATTGAAGGAACAGTTCACCAAAAAATGAAAATTTGCTGAAAATGTACTCACCCTCAGGCCATCCAAAATGTAGATGAGTTAGAGAAATTTTGCATTACATCACTTGCTCACCATTGGATCCTCTGCAGTGAATGGGTGCCGTCAGAATGAGAGTCCAAACAGCTGATAAAAACATCACAATAATCCACAAGTAAGCCACACCACTCCAGTCCATCAATTAACGTCTTGTGAAGTGAAAAAAGCTGTTTAAAAAAAAAAAATCATCATTAGGGCATTTTAACTTTAAACTTTCGCTTCTGGCCAAAATACCAGTCCATAATCCATAACACTTCCACCAGTGAAAAAGTCCATCCTCTGTTGACCACTCACATTAAAATCCACCCACATATTTGATTAGAACTGTTTTTGGAACTGTTTATGCACTGTGCTTGATCTGTGCATATTTCTCTCGTGATTCAGACGAGATGACAAGACTTTTTTTCACTGGAGAAAGCAATATTACGGACTCGTATTTTACCCGAAGCAACGGTTTGAAGTTAAAATGCCAAGCACACAGTTTTTCAATTCACAAGTTGTTAACTGATGGACTGCAGTGGTGTGGATTACTTCTGGATTACTGTGATGTTTTTATCAGCTGTTTGGACTCTCATACTGACGGCACCCATTCACTGCAGAGCAAGTGATGTAATGGCAAATTTCTCCAAATCTGCTACAATGAAAAAACAAACTCATCATCAACACCTCGGATGAGGGAGTACATTTTTAGCAAGTTTTCATTTTGGGGTGAACTATTTCTTTAACAAGAAGTTTCCATATGTGGCAATGAGCAAAGAAGATTTCTCAGAATAAATTCATCAAGTGGAAATGTCCATCCGATGGGATTCAGCCGATTTAGTTTTAGACACTGGGGAAAGAGCTCCAAAAATTGCTTTGCTGCAAAACATTAACACAAAATCTGGCCTGAGAGAAGGAAATTGGTATTGCTTCTCACTTCCTATTCCACTGGGGCTCTGCAAATGCCATGGGCATTAATGAGCATCCAATCAATGATGAGTATGAATAGGGTAATTTGCTGATTGCAAGCACTTAAGTAATTAGCGCTAATAACACTCAGAATGTATTTCGAATTGTCTTTGCCATTGCCTCGCTATCAAGAAATACTCTAATCTTTCTAGCGTTTTGCATGTCTGCTGTTCCTAAATTAGTTTTTTTTGGGGGGAGTGTATAAAAATATTTCTCTCGTAATGGTCATGGGTCTAAAAAAGCAGCTCTGTTATTTTTCAAACACATTCCCGAGGCTCCAAATTTCATTTCAAATTTTCAAGAAAAGCGTCAGAGTTAGGACAGGCCAGAGAATAATGACTGTAATATTCAGGGACACAGTTGCACGAGCTGTCAGATGATGGCTGAATATGAGGAATAATTCAAACCCACCATCAAAGATCTCCAGAATATCAAACTCTTTCTCCGTCTGGAAGAGTTCAAAGTGCAGTGTGATGTTGTAGCCCTTCTCCACGTTGATCATCCAGGAGCACATCTGAAGGTTGGGGTAGCTGTCAGGGTAACCTGGACTCAGGATCATGCCCGTCGAGTCGAACAGAACCTCATTGTCAGGACATTGCACTAAGAAGAAACCAAATGACCATGTGTTAAATAGTGCAAATACCAACCCAGGCTCAATGGGAAAATGTGTCTGTGGTGACATTTCTGCAAAATTATATCACAGCATGTTGCTTCTTGCATGTTTCGTGACACTTTCAAAGTGGAACGTCCATTGAGCAGCACTAAAACCGTTTAGTTTTATCAGAAAAAGAAGACGGTTAAACTGGCAACTTTTAAATACGTTGTCTGTTGCATCTATCACACCAGTTTGGAAATGAAATGCACAGCAAGTGGCACTAAAAGATCAATCCTCTATCATGTTTGACAATAATGTACCACCTACACTAAATCTGACCCTAAGCCTAATCAATAGCGTTAGCAAACATGAAGCTTAAACAACCGTGACATTTTCATATGCTTCTACATGTCTATGAGCTTTTTTATTGTGTTTTACAAGTCTTGTACCAGGTGCAATGCTGTACCAGGTGCGCTACCGAGCAAGCTTACAACATCAGAAAAGTCACATATGGAGCTGGTTATGTGATGCAAACATAAAATGTAATTGTTCACAAATCATGCATTATTGTAAAGGTGTTTTTGAGGTCATAACATAGTATTGTGCAAGGAAATGTATCAATAGTCTGGCCCTGTAATCATAATTTGTGTGAAAAGGAATAGAAGTTGTTGTTGTTTTATTACTACAAATGTTCATTTTAGCTGGAAACCGCAGTAAATTGTATGTATAAGAATGTTTCTGAGTTTTGCAAAAATGCAGGTAGGCATTTTTTTTTCAAATGAGTCATGTTGGCAAAAACACCATCTGAAAACAAACTAACCCATATAGAATAAACTGATTGCATGACATTGTCACCATGTTCTATGCTCGCCCTGAAGAGCACTTATCATGTCAGTCTTATAATCAAGGTTTCTCACCTCATAATTTACTTTTACCCAACATGATGAGAAGTGACAAGTTTCCTGTAATTTGCAGTAATTTGCTTATTCTCACTAAAAGTAAGATGTGACATGACTTAATAAACAGTTATGTTGAGTGCATTTTTGAACCAATGTGCCGAGCTACTTAACGCCACTAAAAATACAAAGCTGGTTAAGAATACAAAATAAAATGTCACTACTCTTTAGAGTGCAAATTTGACTTGAATTGGTCAACAGAATTTTCATTTTTGGGTGAACTATAATGCAGCCTAATATATATAAAAATCCTATTTAAAGCTTTATATTGTCCCACCCGTCCCACCCGCAAATTACGCCTATGGCCCCGGGGCCCAGTGCGGTCTTAATGCGGCCCTGGTCACAGGAAGCTAAATTAGAATTTAAATTAGAACGACAGGAAGAGGAATTTACTGAATTGTAATTCGAAGAAATTCAACAAAGGCGATGCATTCTGAACAAAACCGGCATTATTCACCCTGGTAATTTATTAAATATGATTAAATATATAAAGACTAAGTGTTTCTACTTTTAAAAATAGACCTTTAAAGTATTTTTTTAATTTGTCAAGGCTTTGTCCTTCTAGTTAAAAATGATCACAATGCATTTGAATATCAATGTATTGTAACATTCAATTGCAAGTCTGCAACACTGTTTGCTACCTCAATTCACATTCTAAATGTAAGCTCAAATGCTCTAATTATTAATGGTAAATACTAATATGAAATATTAGAAATATTAGAAGAATGGAGAGTATATTTTATACTGTATTTCTAGTAGAAAAGCACAATGCATTCAAATTTCAATGTATTTCAATGAATTTCAGCTGTAATAAATGCAATAATGTAGTTAATTTGCTAAAAACAGTAATAATTTGCTGTAAAATGATGGTACATACTTAATATCAAAATATTAGAAACAGGGCAGAATGGAACTTGTTAAACCTTTTTTCTTTCTAGTTTCTAGTTTCTTTCAATGCATTTGGATTTCAATCATTTCAATGTATTTTACTATTCAAAATTGAACTGCAAGTCTGCATCCTGTTCGCTACTCCAATTCAATTTTTGCTATAAAATAAAAATGATTAATTTTAAATAATGATTAAATAATTTGCTAATAACTAATAATTTGCTGCAGTTATTAATGGCAGAAACTAATAAAAAATGGCAGAATGGAAAGCATTATACAGTATTTTTCGTCTTTTAGTTAATAACATCAATGCATTTGAACTTCAGTGTATCTCAATATATTTTAACATTCAAATTTCAAGTCTGCACCCTGTTTGTTGCCTCAATTCGTAGTCAGGAACTTCTGTATGGAAGTTCTGAATTGCACATAATCATTATATAAATGTGGGCAGGCATATCTTTAGGCACTCACAGTTGCGAGAGGTACTTCAAGACATCTAGAATCATGCTGTTTGATATTAAGTTTTAAACACAATGATTCACAACGCTGTACTGCGGTTTTCTTCATCCGGAAGTCCAAAAGAGCCTAACAACTAGCGGCAGAGCTAACGACGTGAGACATAAAAACAGGAAGAGCACGGACACAAATGAGACAGAGTGCTGGATGTGCTGCCAAACTAACCTTGGCAGACCGGAGGAGGACCATCCATCTGCAGTCGCTCGCCCAACCTACAGGTCAAGATCTCGCTCCCGAGCAGCGTGAAGCCCAGCGGGCAGCGGTACCTGATGATGTCTCCTGTTGAGTAATTACACACCCAGATCTTTGCTTTTCCACTACAACTAGCGCTCAGCTACACATTAGCTAATTAAGACCTGACCGCTTACACGCTTTTGACAGTAATGATGACAAATGCAGAGTGTCGGGTGTTATTTTCCCATCAGAAAGGGGCATTTTCTTTCACATTAAATAAGAAACGCTGCATTGCGAAGGTGGGCACCTTGGGAGCGTCTCTTTAATGAGGGTGCGATGCGTGATAAATCTATGCAAACAGATGATCATCAAACGTTCTTCAGGCTTACCAATTTCAAATTCATCATCTTCAGCCAGGATCTCTGCGTTGGCGACACGTGTGGGAGGTTGACAGACACGAAGTTGGTAAGCTGCGAGAGGGAACGAGATGAGTGAGAAACGTGATGTTTAGCTGCTGGTTAAGTGATAACGCTTTGAAAACAACCCACACAATGATATGTTAAATCATCACATCTGTCACCGGAGTTTTTCTAAACGTACAACAAAATTACGCGCCGCAGCTGCAAAGTATGAATCACAATCAAGGGTCATAGCATCTGCCTCGTCAACAATGATTATGCCTTATGATTATAACAATGTCTAATTGCAAGAGTTTCTAAAAGAGGATCATATACATTAACAACCTCCTATTACTGTATGATATGATAACAGTCACTATTGTGATGTAACATCATTTGAAGACACATTATGTTGAGCAGAACATGTTGTATGCCCTCAATAAGACACATAATTCACTAATGTTAAGATTAGTTCATCTTGTTGTGTGGCAATACATATAAGGAAATGCTTTTCAAATTCAGTGGCCAATTTATTTTTATGCACATGCAAAATGAGATTTGACTCATTAAAAATAAACAACAAAATGAGATTTGACTTAAAACTTAAAAATACGTTTTGTTATAGTACTTGAATATAAAAATTATTCATATTAAATGTAATAATCAATTTTCTAATAAAATGTAATACTTCTCTGGAATTATAATGGTAAATATATATAAAAATTATTAGCAAAATGGCAGCATGGAAAATATATTTTTTGCACACTGAAGATTAATACATAGCTTTAAGATGCTGGTTAAGGGGTTTAATAATAATAATAATAAAAATGGGTTTTTGCTTTTTTAATATTAACATTATTTATTTTAAATGTAATAATAAATGTAATAATTTGCTGTAATTATTAATGGTAAATACAATTGGAAAATTCAAGGAAAATGTCAGAATTTTTTTTTTTACATTTTCTTAAGAAAAAAAAAGTGATGCTTGTTCATGCAACCTGCCAACACAATGAATGAATACGAAGATTATAAAGATTAATAGAATATGAAGATTAATACATGGATTTATAGTCCTGGTTAAGGGTTAATAAAAAATAAAATAATAATAATAATAATATAAATAAATTTTTAGTGTAATATTAAATTATTCATTTTACATGTATCAATTTAAGTTGCTAATAATTTGCTGTAATGATTAATGGTAAATCTTACATATAAATCATTGGAAAAATAGCAGACTGTTATTTTATAAATTTTCTGAGGAAAAGAAGTGGTGCTTGTTTACGCAAACTGCCGACACAATGAACAAATGCAAAGAAGATTAATAGAGTTAAGGATTCATTCAAATGAGTTTAAGCACCTTTTTTTAGGTAAGATCCAGCAAACGCTCTCAGTATCTTAACATCATTAAGATTTACCAGCTACCAAACTGCTAAATGACCTTTATGTTGTTTGACGACGCCACTGACAAACAAAAACACATTTCATTTAGAATTCATCATTGGGAGAAAACAGGAACACTCAGAAACACTCTGAACACTGAAAAACTCCGCTGTAACTACGCTAACACATTAAAGGCAATTTCAAACCAGAGAATGAGTATTTTGGCAGCTCTGGGACCACAACTATCTTATTTTATTATCTTTTAAATTTCTAATCAGCTTTGAGCTTTGCAGCACTTGACGTAACTTCCTTATGCTCTATTAGTTTATTGGTGAACTTCAAAAGCATCAGCAGAAAATATGCTAACGCAGATGTTAACGTCCTTTAGTGAATAACGGTCTCCCATCACAATTGCAAAATAGATTAGAGAAAACCAATGGGGTTCAAAGGTCATCTGTCGTGTTCAGATGCTATTTCCCCTGTTAAAAGTTCTTCCATAACCTAGTGATTCGCCTACATTGATAGAATTACAAAGCATCATGCACAAAGATTATTGCAACTAAAGAAGCATTGCATGTATCTTTAGTAAAAGAGGCTATTTCATAATTGCAATTCGCTCAGTGAAATAAATATTGTGGACGATTCAGGAGATATTTGCATCAAAAACACTGAAAAATTCAAATTCAAATTCAAAAATTTGAATTTCAAATCAAAATCAAAAAGCATTGACAGAATTGAAGCCAATTCTAAATAAAACCTATGCATGTTATATGCTTGAGTATTGTGTTGCTATCATAGCCACATGCTAAATACAAATCAGTTTTTGAGTCTCCATACGAAGAGTGCATCTGTTTGAATGCTGCACACTATGTAGATCATATCAAATCATCACTTATGAGGTTCCATAACAGCAAGGATGCTGCCTTAGAAGCCAAATGCATGTGTTTCCACACCTGCTCATTCAGAAATGAATGTTATTACGGATGATGGAAGTTTCCAAACACATTATAGCGCCATCGGAATGTGGCAGCTGCAATAATCGAAGCCATTTTCCCGAAGAAACAAGTAATACAATTTCTAGCCCTTGTGTTTGAGAGCAGTAAAATAAAAAAACAAGGGGCCAGAAAGCAGCAAGGTGACACGCTAAACAGGCGTTCGAAGGCACACAAACCAGAAGGTTCCTAATGCAATTTCATGCCACAGTTAAAAAGGCGGGGCATAGAGGAGAAACAATAATGTACAGTATGTGGAAAATAATGTGTTTTTTGAACTTTAAACCGCATAAACACATTTCATTACACCAAATACACAAAATAATGTTCTTTTTAGCAGCATCATATGACCCCTTTAAGAAAAAAAAAAGTGATGCTTGTTCATGCAACCTGCCAACACAATGAATGAATACGAAGATTATAAAGATTAATAGAATATGAAGATTAATACATGGATTTATAGTCCTGGTTAAGGGTTAATAAAAAATAAAATAATAATAATAATAATATAAATAAATTTTTAGTGTAATATTAAATTATTCATTTTACATGTATCAATTTAAGTTGCTAATAATTTGCTGTAATGATTAATGGTAAATCTTACATATAAATCATTGGAAAAATAGCAGACTGTTATTTTATAAATTTTCTGAGGAAAAGAAGTGGTGCTTGTTTACGCAAACTGCCGACACAATGAACAAATGCAAAGAAGATTAATAGAGTTAAGGATTCATTCAAATGAGTTTAAGCACCTTTTTTTAGGTAAGATCCAGCAAACGCTCTCAGTATCTTAACATCATTAAGATTTACCAGCTACCAAACTGCTAAATGACCTTTATGTTGTTTGACGTCGCCACTGACAAACAAAAACACATTTCATTTAGAATTCATCATTGGGAGAAAACAGGAACACTCAGAAACACTCTGAACACTGAAAAACTCCGCTGTAACTACGCTAACACATTAAAGGCAATTTCAAACCAGAGAATGAGTATTTTGGCAGCTCTGGGACCACAACTATCTTATTTTATTATCTTTTAAATTTCTAATCAGCTTTGAGCTTTGCAGCACTTGACGTAACTTCCTTATGCTCTATTAGTTTATTGGTGAACTTCAAAAGCATCAGCAGAAAATATGCTAACGCAGATGTTAACGTCCTTTAGTGAATAACGGTCTCCCATCACAATTGCAAAATAGATTAGAGAAAACCAATGGGGTTCAAAGGTCATCTGTCGTGTTCAGATGCTATTTCCCCTGTTAAAAGTTCTTCCATAACCTAGTGATTCGCCTACATTGATAGAATTACAAAGCATCATGCACAAAGATTATTGCAACTAAAGAAGCATTGCATGTATCTTTAGTAAAAGAGGCTATTTCATAATTGCAATTCGCTCAGTGAAATAAATATTGTGGACGATTCAGGAGATATTTGCATCAAAAACACTGAAAAATTCAAATTCAAATTCAAAAATTTGAATTTCAAATCAAAATCAAAAAGCATTGACAGAATTGAAGCCAATTCTAAATAAAACCTATGCATGTTATATGCTTGAGTATTGTGTTGCTATCATAGCCACATGCTAAATACAAATCAGTTTTTGAGTCTCCATACGAAGAGTGCATCTGTTTGAATGCTGCACACTATGTAGATCATATCAAATCATCACTTATGAGGTTCCATAACAGCAAGGATGCTGCCTTAGAAGCCAAATGCATGTGTTTCCACACCTGCTCATTCAGAAATGAATGTTATTACGGATGATGGAAGTTTCCAAACACATTATAGCGCCATCGGAATGTGGCAGCTGCAATAATCGAAGCCATTTTCCCGAAGAAACAAGTAATACAATTTCTAGCCCTTGTGTTTGAGAGCAGTAAAATAAAAAAACAAGGGGCCAGAAAGCAGCAAGGTGACACGCTAAACAGGCGTTCGAAGGCACACAAACCAGAAGGTTCCTAATGCAATTTCATGCCACAGTTTGGGTTGAATGTATGTATGTTCACGGCTCATCTCAGCATACATACGGCATAAGTAACATATTCTGTGGGCGTGAGGGAATAAGCCAGGATAATCGAGCTGACAATAAACAACTATAAGCGAACTAAGCTGTCGTGAATGAGGAAGCAAAACTGTGGACGATTCTGCTCACCATGGTAACGCAGAACAAAGAATCCGCTGGTGCTGAAGTCGCTGTGGAACTTGAGCAGGATGTGATTGGACGTGCTGGAAACGGCCTCCTGAGGCGAGCTGCCGCTGAATTGACCGATCTGTGGGGATGTTTGGTCAGGGCCGTCCCTAAGGGAGACAACAGATCTGTTCAAACCCAGATATGAAACATTAAAAACCTTCTTTGACTACTTCTGTCTGCTGATATAAAACTCGTCCACTCTCCATAAGTCGCTCTCCCACGTCTGGCGGGTGCGTGTCGGGGATCTTATAAAGAATGTTTATGAAAACAGGAGAGCAGACGTCTCTTCTCTGCAGCGTGTGTCAGTCGTGCTTCAAAACCCTGAATAAACAGCCTGACTAGTGCCTTATACAGTCAATGCATAGCACTCAAAATGACCTTGGTTCTCAGTCAGTTCAAAATCTGTAATAGCATATTAATTAGGAAAACAGTTTTATATAATAAAGTCTAATTTAGTGTGCGATGCAGCAAGAAATAGCTTCTGTTGTGGTTATGCAAAATATTTTTGTCAGATAATGAATGTGCAATCATCACTATCATCAGTGTTGGGGAAAGTTACTCTTAAAAGTAATGCATTACAATATTGCGTTACTCCATAAAAAAGTAACTAATTATGTTGCTTAGTTACTTTTTATGGAAAGTAATGCGTTACGTTACTTTTTGCGTTACTTTTTAAATCTGGACAGGGCTTGCTTGTTTGTTTTTAAAATAAAAACGTTCTATTTTTGGCAAATATAAAAGCCTTTTCACATCAAAAGTGAAATGAATAAGCCTCAGGCTGAAGGAAATTTATATTTACGTCTGTACTGTAGAATG